TCATGAACCAAGTTTCAATCTGCAGTTGCCAATAAACACCGGGAATAGTAATCGTACACAACAGAATCACGATCAGCGTGTTCCAAAATTTTTACTTTTTATTATTCCAGTATTTTATATGCCAAACGTTATTCCCAAGCCTCCTTAATGACGAGATAAACTTTCGATTCACACATTTCATAACCAGTTCTTAAACTAATAGCAGGACTGTTTTTCTAGCAAAGTGTGACACTGTGCGATCGCTAGTTTCTCACTAAAGTCAGGAACAAAAAGGGATAAATCAAAGTTCATAATAAATACCATAAGCACAGTTTCTTACCTTTGAGATAGAATTTAATCTATGTAAGCCTTGTGCAAAGAAAGATACAGTCCCGGAATACAATATCCTCAGACGAAATCGATGGCAATTTCCTCAGCAGTTAGACTGGCGCATGCGCAATACGGTATGCCAGTTCTCTTGAGAGATGTTGTTAAAACTCAGATTTTTTCACCAAATTTCGGCACTTGTACTAGTAAAATGTTGAAAATCACAGAAAAACACAATGAAACTTTGGCGAATCAAACAAATACTTGGCGTGCACATGTATGGCATTGAGAATTACATTTGCACCAACTTGTAAAAAAATTGGACAGAGCATATTAAAGTTATAAAAGGTAAAAGACAGACGAACGAACGAACGAACGAACGGACGGACGGACGTGGACAGACAGACTTCGTCTGCGAAGGCTAATAAAACGTGTTGTGACGCACTGGCAGCCTCATCAGACTCTTTCACTTCTGCAATATAATTATGCTATTTCCCAAAGCACTTATATTTAATACATTGACAAAAAACACTGCAAGAAAAATGTAAATCAGGCTTGTAATTACTAGTAACTCAACTCGAACGCAATATTGATCACTGTAAAAGTGGATAAATTCGAATCGTCATCAAATTCAAAATTCAAACGATCTCGTTGAATTTCAATCAAAAATAAACTCTATGTTTAGAAAAACAAAAACAACAACATATTAGAGTGCAAAACAAGTTAGCAGCAAAGAACGAGAAATGCATGTGGGAAAGCAATGAGTGAACTTGAGGAAAATTATGCTAATGTGAGAACAAGCCACATACCCACGGAGTACTCGCTAAAACATCAAGAAAATGTGCCATTTCAAAGAGCGGCCTTACAAATAATGTCTGTGATTGTGTGAACATGATAACATGCAAACAAGGAACAGAGCTCGTGGTCTACCAAGGAAACTTAGCGATGATGCAGTTAGATGTATACGGCTGTTGAAAGCAGAGACTCCTTCGATCTCATATGAGCAGGTTCACATGGATGTTTCATTTTCAACTAATACCAATAACACTATGGTAATATTAAAGACTTTCCGTTTTTGACATTGTGAAATTCTTTTGTTTTTATGTAGAAAAATACAATATTTTTACCAAGTAAAATCATATTTAATATTAAAGTTATTGTTCATACATGAGTTGTCGAACACACTACATAGTTTGTAATTTCATCCAGCTCCTTTCAGTCACAATTCAAGACAAATAAAAGGCACAAATATAGATAATATAGCAAATTATTTTTTTCTGTAATATTCGTGTGTAATCAGTAATTATGAAAATAATTTATGGGTACATATGGAATACATTTCGTTAAGAATTGTTCTTAATAAAAATTTCTAATCAGGTTTTTTTTTAGCGTTTTCCTCCCAGAAAAGTTGAAAGAATTTTATAATATAAACGGGAAGTCTTTTTTATTATTATTATTTATTGGGAACGGAAAGTCTTTATCGTAGTTCTTTGCCTCGGTTGACAATGAGCTCTTCGGGTCGCAAAAACTGTACCGGGTAAGTCCACCTCTGTTGGGGTGAACATTTGTATTATTATACCGAAAAATCTTAAAACAGAAATTGTGGCACTCAATCCTGGCAATCTCCAGTCAAGGCTATCTTGAAGGATTGCAGGAAATTGACCTTTACCGATTCATATTTATGAATTAATCGGGATTCAGGTATCATAGTGTTTGTAACGTTATTTTATAACGAGACATTGGGCGCAAAAATAAAAACCATAATTGTAATTCAACAAGTTTATGTAACATGTTAGTCCGCTTGCCAGCCGCCTAGTTAAAAAACGTGATCTCCATTGATGTAGGCTTCAATAACTTCAGACAAGTAAGATGGGCGCCGGCAGACATTACATTTGCAATTATTGTATTTGTTTGACAAATTGTACAGTACGGTCATTCTATAACAATCAATTGGTCATTTTTTTCAGATATTCTTCAATATTGTTATAGGTGCCATGGATTTACATAACTACAACTTGACCCGCATTAAACCCAAACTATGCATGCATGTCAACTGTCACCCTACACACGGTTACTCGACGAATACCGTACTCTACAGTAAACATTTTTCGTTCTCCACCAAAAATAGATAGTTTTATTTCATATTAGTTGTGTCTGTGTCATGTTTGATTAGATCTTGTTTATGGTGCATGGACATTATTTCTACACGTATGTATTATAACCAATTTTATATGGCAGTGTGATACACCGTATTTTTTCAACGGCCGTTCTATAAATTTTTGATTGTATTTATTCTTCTTTTAACATCATAAAAACAAAAATGATACACTTGTACATGAAACAATAGATAATGAATTGTAAATGCGGGCAGTTCCGCTGTCAGGCAAGCGAGCGAGTGCGCGAGCAAGTGAGCGCGCGAGCGAGCGGAGACTTCTGGATTTGCGTGCTCAAAAAAAAAGCGGAAATTGTCCGGTTGAATTGAACAAAGCGAGCGAAAAAAAAGCGATCGAAATCCGGAAGGAGGTTGGGAGAAATGAGTACTGTAGGAAGATGGTTCACAACTTTGAAAAATACTTGGTGTTTGCCTAGTTTTAGACTTGACAGCACCGCTTGACAGACGGCGTGCTGTGTGCGATTCACTATTTCATAGGGTGATCAACATCATTATTTGAGTGTACATATTCAATAATTATTCTTCATTTCTTGTGTATTTAATATATTATGCCATTCCTTATGTTTTTATTTTAATATGGAATGTATGGGCTTTTTTTTTCACTTTATATCCTGCAATAAAGATTTAATAATAATAATAGTATCATGCAATTCAAGAATTATCATAAGATATTGAAAAGTTTGTGTATTCCTATAAATGCGTATCATTTATTTTGTATGATAATGGAATGATCTAAACTGTGTGTGTATCAATGGGTTGGTGCCGTCAAGTCTAGAATGGACAAAATCCAAAGTGTTTTGCAAAGTCGCAAGCCATCTTGCTGACTGAATGGTTGTAAGTAAACCATGTGATAAAACATACCGATGATGGTCGGATACACTAGCTGTTCTCAAATAAAATGTGTCTAAATTCTTAAGTGTTTTTTATGGTTCAACTTGACAAATACCAAAATCCATTAAATCTTCATTCAAATCTTCTTTATTCAATGTGCAAAACCGATGAATAAAATTTTTTGTCTAGCCTTGGTAAACCAAAACCATGACAAGCATATCATCCATGATATATGATGTAATAAAAACCCAATAAAGAGAAAATGAGACAAGATACCATGCAATAAGGAAAGCATGCCATCAGTCATAATTACATGCATCCCTTGTCACCTGGATCAACCCATAAATATATTATGTATCACTTGCTAAGCATAACAAGTTACTTAGTCAATTAAATGGTTTATTTTGATCTGACAACGATTTGATAATCTGGTAACATTAGGTCTAAACTTGCTGCATTACTGAGATGTTTTTGCTTGTTTTGGTCAAATATATTCTAGTGCTAGAAGGGGTTATGTAAAGAGTGAATACTTGTGAGGCGAAGCAAGTGATAAACTCAATACTTGGTGGATATCACTACCTATGTTGGAGACTCTACAATCTATATCAAACCCAAGGCATGAACTCAGTATTGAGTTCAATAAGCTGTAAAATCAAATACATAAAGGCGGTTTAATATACAATCTGAAAATGAATCAACAATATTTGATATTATGTTTGTTTCTTTATTTACTTATAACTGACTCGCATGGGATTTGTACTGTGATGTACTAGACAAAGTCAACATATATACTGTGAAATATTTTATTTTTGCTGGAATTAATTTTCGCTGAAAAGGCTTTTTGAGCGTTCTGTATGAAATTTATTTTCACTGATTTTTTAGTTGAATGTGAAATATAGGAAAAAAGTATATTGGCAGGATTTTATTTTCACTGAATCATCCCTTCAGCGAAAATATCGAAAATAAATTCAAAGCGAAAATAAAGTATTCTACAGTAGATAACTTGAATCGTATCAAGTAAAACAAAGTGCAAAATTAACTCACCCTATTCTGTTTATGTTCTTCACGTTCTATTTCAGCATGTATACGCTGTAATGATCTCTTTTTCTCATCTAATTCCATACGACTCTCATCTATATCTTTCAATAACTTGTGTAAATCATCTTGTTTCTTTCGTTCCTGTGTCAGACACTCATTTAAGCTATCTTTACTTTTTTCAATCATATTCTGTAATCTGTCCAACTCAGCAGCAGTATCACTTTTCTTTTTAATGGAATCTCTTAGATCCTGTATAAAATGCAAGAAGGAAGATTTTATTTAAAAGAATGCTATAAAACCTCATTTATTTTTCAAACTCTGAACAAACTGTCGAACTCTGGATTAGCCAGTTTAAGGTAGCAAGACTATTATTTGTGTTGAAAATTACGATTTTCACATTTATTTATTAATTGATGAAATGCACTATAGACTTTCATTTGATAAAGTCAATGTAACCTAGAATGTCATGTAAGTTGGTTAAAATGTAGATTTTCTGAAGGGAAGCAAGGCAGCTTCAGTATTGTTTTCCAAAATCAACAACATATGTTTAATCTGTGTGCCTATAAGTTTCAAAGATTAACTCAAGACAAAGCAATGTTAGGATGTGTTATCAGTAGCTATCTGACACACAATTAGTGTTTCCAAACATTTGAGTGGTTTGTCTCCGCCCCTGTTTATTTCACAGATTAGTCATTTGCATAAGAATGTGTCAGACACAAGGTCACACAGCCACTGAAAAAAATCAATGATTTTGGTGTTTTCATCAGCCGATTTTATTGAACTATAGCTATACAATTCCTTTATTTTCTTGGTTTCCAATAGCCTTACACATTTGGATGCCCCTACACATGTTAAAACAGACCTTGATGGGAAAACAAATCGCTTGTGCAGAGAAACAAGCTTGAAAATCTTTGCTGTGACTTCATCATCGTTTTCTAGGAGTTTATGTTTTTCAAAATACAAGGTCTTTAACAAAAAATAATGTATACTTATTGTCGTCGAATTAACACAAAATTTTCACAGCTTTAAGGTGACAATGAGAGGAGCTTGAATGTGTCCATACAAACTATTTCATGGATTATTTAGCAATGTGTCATGGTTTGGGTTGGGGGCAATGGCAATCAGGAACCCATAATGTCTAATGTATGTACCAAGTTTGAACGAAATCCACCCATAAATGCTTGA